CTGCAGGGTCTGTAGCAGGTTGTGACCCGATGAGGGTCTCTGCAGGGTCTGCAGCAGGTTGTGACCTGATGAGGGTCTCTGCAGGGTCTGTAGCAGGTTGTGACCCGATGAGGGTCTCTGCAGGATCTGTAGCAGGTTGTGACCTGATGAGGGTCTCTGCAGGATCTGTAGCAGGTTGTGACCCGATGAGGGTCTCTGCAGGGTCTGCAGCAGGTTGTGACCTGATGAGGGTCTCTGCAGGGTCTGTAGCAGGTTGTGACCTGATGAGGGTCTCTGCAGGATCTGTAGCAGGTTGTGACCTGATGAGGGTCTCTGCAGGATCTGTAGCAGGTTGTGACCCGATGAGGGTCTCTGCAGGGTCTGCAGCAGGTTGTGACCTGATGAGGGTCTCTGCAGGGTCTGTAGCAGGTTGTGACCCGATGAGGGTCTCTGCAGGGTCTGTAGCAGGTTGTGACCCGATGAGGGTCTCTGCAGGGTCTGCAGCAGGTTGTGACCCGATGAGGGTCTCTGCAGGGTCTGCAGCAGGTTGTGACCCCATGAGGGTCTCTGCAGGGTCTGCAGCAGGTTGTGACCCGATGAGGGTCTCTGCAGGGTCTGCAGCAGGTTGTGACCCGATGAGGGTCTCTGCAGGGTCTGCAGCAGGTTGTGACCCGATGAGGGTCTCTGCAGGGTCTGCAGCAGGTTGTGACCCGATCAGGGTCTCTGCAGGGTCTGTAGCAGGTTGTGACCCGATGAGGGTCTCTGCAGGGTCTGCAGCAGGGTTGTGACCCGATGAGGGTCTCCGCAGGGTCTGCAGCAGGTTGTGACCTGATGAGGGTCTCTGCAGGATCTGTAGCAGGTTGTGACCTGATGAGGGTCTCTGCAGGATCTGTAGCAGGTTGTGACCCGATGAGGGTCTCTGCAGGGTCTGCAGCAGGTTGTGACCTGATGAGGGTCTCTGCAGGGTCTGTAGCAGGTTGTGACCCGATGAGGGTCTCTGCAGGGTCTGTAGCAGGTTGTGACCCGATGAGGGTCTCTGCAGGGTCTGCAGCAGGTTGTGACCCGATGAGGGTCTCTGCAGGGTCTGCAGCAGGTTGTGACCCCATGAGGGTCTCTGCAGGGTCTGCAGCAGGTTGTGACCCGATGAGGGTCTCTGCAGGGTCTGCAGCAGGTTGTGACCCGATGAGGGTCACTGCAGGGTCTGCAGCAGGTTGTGACCCGATGAGGGTCTCTGCAGGGTCTGTAGCAGGTTGTGACCCGATGAGGGTCTCTGCAGGGTCTGCAGCAGGGTTGTGACCCGATGAGGGTCTCCGCAGGGTCTGCAGCAGGTTGTGACCCGATGAGGGTCTCCGCAGGGTCTGCAGCAGGTTGTGACCCGATGAGGGTCTCCGCAGGGTCTGCAGCAGGTTGTGACCCGATGAGGGTCTCAGCAGGGTCTGCAGCAGGTTGTGACCCGATGAGGGTCTCTGCAGGGTCTGCAGCAGGGTTGTGACCCGATGAGGGTCTCTGCAGGGTCTGCAGCAGGTTGTGACCTGATGAGGGTCTCTGCAGGGTCTGCAGCAGGTTGTGACCCGATGAGGGTCTCTGCAGGGTCTGCAGCAGGTTGTGACCCGATGAGGGTCTCTGCAGGGTCTGCAGCAGGTTGTGACCCGATGAGGGTCTCTGCAGGGTCTGTAGCAGGTTGTGACCCGATGAGGGTCTCTGCAGGGTCTGTAGCAGGTTGTGACCCCATGAGGGTCTCTGCAGGGTCTGCAGCAGGTTGTGACCCGATGAGGGTCTCTGCAGGGTCTGCAGCAGGTTGTGACCCGATGAGGGTCTCTGCAGGGTCTGCAGCAGGTTGTGACCCGATGAGGGTCTCTGCAGGGTCTGCAGCAGGTTGTGACCCCATGAGGGTCTCTGCAGGGTCTGCAGCAGGTTGTGACCCGATGAGGGTCTCTGCAGGGTCTGCAGCAGGTTGTGACCCGATGAGGGTCTCTGCAGGGTCTGCAGCAGGTTGTGACCTGATGAGGGTCTCTGCAGGGTCTGTAGCAGGTTGTGACCCGATGAGGGTCTCTGCAGGGTCTGCAGCAGGGTTGTGACCCGATGAGGGTCTCCGCAGGGTCTGCAGCAGGTTGTGACCCGATGAGGGTCTCCGCAGGGTCTGCAGCAGGTTGTGACCCGATGAGGGTCTCTGCAGGGTCTGCAGCAGGTTGTGACCCGATGAGGGTCTCTGCAGGGTCTGCAGCAGGTTGTGACCCGATGAGGGTCTCTGCAGGGTCTGCAGCAGGGTTGTGACCCGATGAGGGTCTCTGCAGGGTCTGCAGCAGGTTGTGACCTGATGAGGGTCTCTGCAGGGTCTGCAGCAGGTTGTGACCTGATGAGGGTCTCTGCAGGGTCTGCAGCAGGTTGTGACCCGATGAGGGTCTCTGCAGGGTCTGCAGCAGGGTTGTGACCCGATGAGGGTCTCCGCAGGGTCTGCAGCAGGTTGTGACCCGATGAGGGTCTCTGCAGGGTCTGCAGCAGGTTGTGACCCGATGAGGGTCTCTGCAGGGTCTGCAGCAGGTTGTGACCCGATGAGATCACATTCTGACAGTATGCAGGAGAACCTTCTTCATGCTATCAGGAAGGTTTTCCCTCCAGCTGCAGCTGCTCAGGGAGCTGTTGATGGAGATCCTCACAGGATGTGGAGGAGAAGCGGTTCTCTGCCTCCTCCATGTGGCCTCTGGCTGAACTGCAGCCTTCAGAAGGCCGATGGGAGAAATGCTGCATCAGCTCGGCTTTCTGCTGATGGGTTGAAAAAGTTGATGTGCATTTAGTTTGTTCATCGAGTTTCTGTCAGCAGCCTTAAAGTCGTTCTTCATAAAGGAAGATGTGTGGTGAGAGGACGGTTCCTGCAGGAGCCACTGCTGATCAATTCACAGACAATCTCTGAATTATGGCTGGAATAGCTCCAGAAGCAGGATTTATTCATAAAAACACAACTGCAGCTCCTGAGGAGGACAAAGGTTCATAGGGACCCTATTGGACCAGAACCTGTGAACTGGGTTCAGACCATTTCAAATGTAAAAACTATCAAAGTAGACAGGAAGGGAGTCTGAGTCTGTAAGTACGTCACATGGTGACACGGAGCCTTAAGAATGTTTCATCCCAGGCTGGACTTAAATCACTGCTTCTCAGAATATTTCTACCCTCCAGTTGCAGCAGATCCTTCAATCTGAGCAGAACTGAAGCAGTTTTACTGTTGGGAACTTAAACCCGTCGGTTTGGTTCTGAATAAGTCTGCCCTGAAGCAGCTTTAGGGTTTAGAACATGTACTCATGCAGGAAGGATCTCCTGTAGCAGTCAGTCTCACAGTGGATTTGTTAGGCCTCTTAATGAAGACAAAGGTCTGATGAAGAGGAAGCTCAGGGTTACTGTTGGCACCATTGGATCTGGTTCTAACCGTTCAGTTGCACCAGAATCGTTCTGGTTTTGATCCCGGATTCCTGATCTCAAGTCTGCCGGCCAGAAGAAGAATTCACCAAATACCAGCAAAGAAGAATCTGCAGGTTTGTTTGCAACACCATCTGCTGGTGGTGGCATTTGAAAGTTTTGCTTCAGGTTGAAACAATACACAAGGAGTCAGTTTTGTGGGATTATTGAGATGGGATTATATCATCGTACAAAGAACGGCTCATGACCATCAGAACCTCGTCTCTAACCCGCTACGCCAGTGTTGTGCTAAGATAGGTTCCCCCTGCATTTAGAGCAACAGCCCACAGGAACATCCTTTGACTTCAAATATATACTCCCCTTGTTTTCTGTTCCTTACTGTTAGAAGGAAAAGCACTTTATTTATTTTGAGAGAGGGGGAGAGACATGCAGCCAAGGAACACAGGTCGGCTTCGAACCCGGGTCAGCCGTGCAGAGGCCTCTGTACATGGGTCATACCACTAATCCCTGCTCCACCTGCACATCCAGGAAAAGCAGTTTAATCTAGATCTGCCAGGTTTACTAAAAATTTAAAGCAACATTTTATTCATTCATCTCTGTATGATAAAGGTCAGAGCATACTCTTCCTGCTGAGGAGACTGAGGTCTGCAGGGGGCGCTCCTAAAGACCTTCTATGACTGTTAAGGCATCAACTTCTGTGGAGCTGTCTGTTGGAGCAGTGGCTTATCAGCTGAGAGGAAGCGGCTGGATCAGCTGATCAGGAAGGCTAGCTCTGTGATTGGATGCCCTCTGGACTGGAGTTGGGAAACAAAAGGATGCTAACTAAATGAACATTTCTGTTGGATGTTTCCCACTCCATGCATGAAGCTGGTGCTGAACTGGACAGCTCCTTCAGTGGCAGACTGCTGCACCCTAAATGCACCATGGAGTTTTATCACAGATCCTTCCTTCAAGCAGCTGGAAGACTCTAGAACCACCACTGTTCCCAACAACCTCAATCAGTTGTTACATTCATGCTGATTTTGCACAGTTTCTACCTTAGTCATTAAATAACATCCTGCTGTCATTTTGCACATCTCTGATGTTGCTGCTATTTTCAAATAACCATTACTGTAAAAATGTCCATAGCTGTTTATTGGTCATTTTTTCTCCAGGTTCACAGTTTTATATTGTTAAAACACTTTACAGTACAGTATCTTCACTATTATGTTATCCTTATACATTTTTACTAAGGTGCATATTTGTTTAACCATTTTTTTTATTAAAGTAAAACATCAAGTATTTCATGTCTAGCTAAAGACTGAGGTGCAGTGAGGAATTCTGGGAAAATAAAATCAGTTGGGGATACGTTCCTTAGCACATGCTGCTTTTCCTTCAGCTTGAACACTCAGCCCAGCACTGTTCTGCAGGCAGAACCGGGTCAGTAGAAGAAGTTGGAAGTGGTTTTGGTAGCTGCAGCATCAGAGATTGGATATTTCTAAAGTTTTTTTAAATTAAGCTTTATTGTTAAAATAATAAATTGTCTCCATGTGAAAAAAAAAACCAAGTTTGATATGATTCACTGCATGAGAAAACATGAGATGTTTTATAGGAACGTCTCCTCTCCTCAGGTACGGTGACATGGTACCAAAGACCATCATGGGGAAGATCTTTGGGTCCATCTGCTCCCTCAGCGGCGTGTTGGTCATCGCCCTGCCGGTTCCGGTCATCGTCTCCAACTTCAGCCGGATCTACCATCAGAGCCAGAGGGCTGAGAAGAGGAAAGCACAGAAGGTAAAACATCTGCTTACTGTGGGGGTGTGGGGCGCAAATATGAACAGAACCCACCTGGGCCTCCCCTGATAAGGTCACCAGGGGGCGATGTAGAGCTGAGATTACCACACATTAGCACAATGTTTACTGAAAGTAAAGGAGCAGATCCTACAGGTCCAATCTGAGTTGGGCCTTTATCACCTTCTGCTCAAACTTCAACACTTTCTGAAAACTAAAACCAAACACATTTTTCAGCAGAAGTGCTTGAAAACAACCTGACTCCATGTTTGTGTTGTCATGGTGACTAAATTATTTCTACTGCTCCATCTCTGGAATCAGGTTCTGGTTTAAAAAAACTGCAAAAATTGTTTCATCATTAAAATAAAATAAAAAAGAATATTCCTGTGAGGAGAAAGAAAGAACGGCTCCTCAACAACTAAATATGTTTTTAAAAGATCTTGTTTTGAAGCCAATTATTCTATCAAAGCTTTTACATTTCTTTTACATTTAAACAGACAATATTTGCTGTGAATTTCTGAAGCAAATTTAATTTTATGTAACTGGATATTTCTTTAGAAGTTTTAACTTTTATTCTAATACACTTTTAAAGTTTAAAACAGAATCATTTGTTTATTATTTAACCTTATTTTCATTAGGTTTTATTTTTCTACTTTTAATCAAACTATTGATTAAAAGTAGAAAAATAACTTTATTTATAACGTATTAATATTAATTTAAGCTTAAATTAATGCATATGATAAAACTTCTTTGCTTATTTTTAGATAATATGTAGGTTATGAAATTATTCATATAATAAATATTAATTGAACACATAAATTAATATCTGATTATTTTTTTATATTTACCAATAATAATTTAGTTAAGAAATAATATTCTGTGTATCTAAAACAAACCATGAGAAGCAGACTAAAATGAACCTTTTCATCCCCTGACCATTGGCGGTTCTAGACGGGGGCCAACGGGGGCCAGTGCCCCTGTAGATCATATTATGGCCCCTGTATCAAAGACATAATACTAAAAAAGAAATTCTAATGATGATATGCGCCGGAAAAGACATGGTTTCTGATAGTTCCTTTGGATCTATTTCATTTTTTTTCATAAAAAATTCTAATTATCTAATTATTTAAAAACAATAGCTTCGGTGGTATTGAGATAGGATCCCAGTTTTCTTCTGCTAAATGTTTTTTTCAAAACAAATTTAAAGAAAATAATCAGTTTTCCTTGAGTTCTAATTCAGATTTTATAGAAACCAGTAATTTTAACTTAAATTAAGAAAAAGAATGTGTAAAATTCCTAAATTATGAATGTATATTGAGTTAATATTCAAAATCTTTTAGATATTTATATAGCTAGATTTTTTTTCTGAGTTTTTATGGCACTTGTGGCTCATTTTTCTCACAGTAGGCTGACAGCAAAAGGGGTATGGGAGAGGGGGGGAGACATAATAATAAAATAATAATAATAATAATTCATTTAATTTATAATGCACTTTTCACCAAAAAGGCCTCAAGGTGCTACGAAAAAGCATTTAAAAAAGCAATACATAGAGGTATGCAGTAAAGGACCACAGGCTGGATTCGAACCCGGGTCCCCCACTTCGAGGATAAAATCCCTCATGCTTGGGTCGTATGCACTAACCACTGTTCCACCTGAATGCAAGCCAGAATTTTTTGAGTAGCTTTTTGTTCCATGCCAAGGGATTTTTGTTTAGATTTTAACAATAATCCAAATGAACATTTTCAAGCCGAAAAATAAATATTTTCAGTAGGAAGACATATCATTTTAATTAAACCTAGTTGAATCGAAATTTCACTTCATGCAGCTTAATGTATTTGAATCCCTTGCCCTTTTATTTGCTTCATGCTTTTCTGTGCCTCCATAAAAACATGCTAAACCCCACCCCCCTGGCCTCCTGGAACATTTGGTCTCAAACTGCCACTGATCCTGACTTCAGCTGCTCTTCAGCTCATAAGAAGAACAGATAAGGAACTTTTTGAGAATAACAGACCAACTGTTGGAGAGCATCTGTGAGGCAGCAGAAGAACAGCTAACGAACAGTAAAGCAACAGCTAAATATCTGCTGAAGAGCAGCTGGAGATCAGTGGAAGAATGCCTAAAGAACTGCTTGAAAAGCCGCTGAAGAACAGCCAAAGATCTGCTAAAAAGTAGCTGGAGGTGATGAATAGCTGAAGAAAGAACAGCTGAGAGAAGCTGGAGAACATCTGCAGGGGTTCTGTGAACTGACCACCGTCTCAACACAAACCTGTGTGTGTTCACAAACAGAAAACCAGGCTTGCTAGAATTGACGCAGTGAGGAGCCGAGGAGCTAGTGCTTATTTGCAGTACAAACGCAGCCAGCAGCTGATTGGCGATGCTAAGGAGGTAACCATGGAGACCACCCTCTCCCTTTGAGCCAACCGGCTGCAGATTGCTGCATGCAGGGTGTGATCTGAGCGACGGGGGTTCCTCTCTGAGCTCTTTCTGTCGTGTTCCATCTTGATCTCTATGTTCCTGTGTCTCCTCGTCCGTCAGTGCATGTGAAACTGCTGCATGTGATTGATCAGCCTTTAAAGGCCAAAGGTCAGTGCCCCTCTGCATGTTTCCCAGGTCCAGAAAGCTGCTGGACCTTCCTCCTTCATGTTTGAACCAAAACCACATCAGTACTCGACCGAATCCCACAAGGTTTCCACCTTCGTTCACTAGCTGCCGTAGGTCAGATGTCCCTCACTAACGCTAAGGAGCTGAAAGGAATCCCACAATTCAATTCAGTTTATTTCTATTGCGCCAAATCACAACATGTCATCTCAAGGCACTTTACAGTTCACCAGATCATACAATCAAATTGATTCAAAGTTTTCTATCTAAGGAAAACCAGTTGATTGCATCGACTCATTGACTCAAAGGCAATCCCTCACACTAAGCATGCTTGTGGCGACAGTGGAGAGGAAAAACTCCCTTTTAACAGGAAGAAACCTCCATTAGAACCAGGCTCAGTGTGAGCGGCCATCTGCTGAGGCCGACTGGGTTTCAAGGAGACAGAAGCAGAGATACAAAAAGCAGCTGTAAAAGGCGCCCTGTCCAGGAAACTGCATCTCTTACAGTTGCATTTAAGGAAGGAGATGGTGGTCAAAAACTCACAACCTCACTGGTACTGGGAATTCCACAGTGTCGTTAATAAAATACATTCTTCACCAACCTTACAAAGCCCTGTTGAACGGCTGGTATGTTCTCATTTATAAAAAATGAGCAGAGTCCAAACAACCCGTAACATTACAAAGAAAAATAGGGAATTAGCATGTCCGTCTGAGTACGTGTATCTCCCTGCATCACGTCTCCCTACAGAGAAGCAGTGGCACGTAGCAACACCAGAGTATCTTAAAGAGACACTACACAATTACGACTGCTACGAAACACACAGCCAGGCAGACGAGCTCCGAGCCATCTCCCATATCAGAGGATGAAGAGAAAACATCCAGTTAGTCACAGTCAGAGAAACAGGACTACACTGTTTCCAGTTTCCCCTCTTTCTAAAATAAGCGTTCCCCAAAAACGTGGGAGAAATTTTCAGGGCTAGTTTGGTTTTTAAAGGTAACAACAACAGCTTGGGAAGCAGCATACCCCAGTTTCAGGCTCTGTTTTGTAGAAGAGACCCCTGGTGTGCTTCAGGACCCTGAGTGATGCTCACAGCTGTTTTCACATCCGGAAAACATTCAGGCCGTAAATATTCACAATATTTGATCTTTTCCTCATTTTGACAGGTTTTGACTACGTTCTGATTTCATCCCATTAGTGGAAACAGGGAAACTTCTGGAGATGAGCACGAGTGGTTCTGCTGAAGGAGGGATGTTAAGCATCACCAGGAAACTAACTCTTCTTCTCTTTCTTCTAATATCAACACGTGGAGGACTGAAGCTGTGCTGCATGACAACCAACTGGCCAATCAGCATGCAGAGTGTATAGGCAATGTGACCCAGAGGACAGTGTTAGGGGAACATTAGAGGAAAGATCTAACTTTATGAGAAGCCCATGGCCGTAGGTTTGCACAGGGACCATAGAGACATGTCCCTACCAACAATTAGATGTGATTAACATGTTTATAATTTACTATACAGCATTGTTGCAGCAGTAAAGGAGTTCTAGATGGAGAATATTGACAGACGAAAACATTTTTTATCTAAAATGCAAAATGTTTCTATTTTTTTTTTTTTTACAATTTTGGTATAATTCCTGCTCTAAGTGGGTCGCTCTGTGAGCTAAAGACATGTTTTAGAGTCTCTATACTCCAATTAACAATTAATCAATTACTAAATTTGTTGACATTATTTCAATAATCAATTAATCTGATGAATAAAATACATGAAATGGGTTAAACAGAGTAACTATAGCCTAGATGTACAACTTGTGGAGTGAGGTTAATATATTAAATGTTCAGTGTCAGTTCCTCTTCTAGTTCCAGTGGTGATGTAAATACAATAAATCTATTTGGCTTTCCCTTAAATCTATTATTTTGCTTTGTTTCATCATACAGAGAGAATATTTAAAAGATAAGAGTGGGTTTTACCTCTGTTTACCTCTGCACAATTCTATATCTTTAAAAGAAAATACAGGATAAATCCACATATAACAGACATATTTAGGCTATATTTGGTTAAATAAGCACAGATTTACCTTCTGTCTTAGTCACAGGTAATTTCAAATGCAAACCTTTTCAAAGTGGAAAGAAGTCCTAATTTCTCATTCATCAGAGCCAGTTATTCCTTCAGTTATTGATAAACAGCATCTAGTGTAGTGCCTATAAAATTTGTATAAACGTAGCAAGAAATGCTGCTTTTCTCTTTAAATGAAATGCACCCTGATTTTCACGTCAAGCATAACAAAACGAGCGTGCATATTTTTGCATAAAACCAGTGATATCAGATCAATAGTGTCCCTATCAAAGTTTAAATCAAACCTACGCCCTTGCTTCTGCCGTACTCAGGTTGGCTCCTGACCAGGCTCAGACTGGTAATCTGTGATAGCGGCTATTTGCCTGGTGGGACGGTCCTAATTTCAGCATGCGAGGGCCGGCCCTCTTTAAATCATACCAACACTTACTCTCTGGCCGAAGCTCCTACCTGTGACAGTAGTTAACATTGTGTTACTCAAGAAGTAATACAATGTTAACTACTTAAGTGATGCATGCAGTATATCACTGGAAAAACGATCTAAAAATAAGTAAAAATGTCTTACATTAAGTGTATTTCCCCTTAATTTGAGTAGGTAAATTAGATAGTTTGCCAATGGAATGAGTATTTTTACTCTTAAAATAAGATATTTAGATAAAATGCACTTGAAATAAGACAATGTAATCGTGCTTTCTTATTTTAAATGTAAATCGTCTTGTTCCATTGGCAAAATCTCCCTTTCACCTTCTCGACTTAAGAACAAATGCACTTATTTTAAAGCTACAGTGTGTAATAATTACAGGGATATACAGTCAGAAATGTAATATATTATACATAACTATGTTATTTATCATCATCTACGAGCTCAGCCTCTTAACCTTAATATTTGCGTTGCCTTAGAATTCGTTATTTATAATTACATAGGAGCGGGTCTCGCAGCCATGGAGGCAGACATCTTTGCGCTACGGCAGCGCAGAGCCAACAAACTAGCGATTGCGAGATCGCCCATTACGCTCGAAAGTAACTACGGCAAGTTGAGAGAGATGAACTGAGACGGTACTGAAATCTATACCCTACACAGTCTAATGAAATACTATCTGTAAAATTATCTATGTAAACAAACATCATCACTTGAGAAGGTAGGTGATGCGGACGTCGTGGAAGACATTTTGTCCCGTAACGCTCGCCGTACTGTTGGGGGGTAGAAGCGGTGGGGGGAGATGTTCATGTTGCTGCGGTCTGCAGTCTGGACGTTAGATGTCGCTAAAAGTTACACACTGTAGCTTTAAGAAAAAATGACTTATCTAGATTTTAATTTTTTCCAGTGTAGCCCTTCCTTGTCATGCACATCCTTGTGACGGTTGGCATATCGTGTAATTTTCTATTTCTTCAAACTCTAAAATCCTTACAACTAACTAAATTAGAATAAAACTAAAATGCTTTCTTTAAACCAAACTACAATGTTCCTCTTATATTTGGCAAATTTATATTTGAATATTTTGCAAAAATATGTTGCAGTGCATGATGGGGTTTTGCATCTAAATGCTAACGTCTCCCGTCTTACATACATTGTTGCCAGGTTGGGATGTTTCCAATCTGGCAGTTTAGGATGGCCGTCTATGGGTGGAAAATGTTTTTCTTTAGATTTAAGGCCTAAGAGATTAATGGACTTTTCTTCAAACTGGGCGAGATTTTGTAGATCCAGGCGGTTTATGAAAATTTTTTGGGCTGTAAAACGTGAGTCAGTGACATCTGGCAACCCTGCTGATGTGGTTACGCAGCAGCTGTCACTGTGGATGTCGTGTGAAGCTTGAAGATAGATCAATTAATCCATAATGTGTGTTAATTTTTTTTCTTCATATTTGAGACGCATGCATTTGACTGTATTTCTATTTTTCTTTTTTGGGGGATATATATATATATATATATATATATATATATATATATATATATATATATATATATATATATATATATACACGCATATACGCACGCAAATATACATTTTACAATATACACCCTCTCTATCATCAAATTCTATGAAATAATTTAGATTTCTTTAAAAATCTAATAACTATTTGTATTTGTTTACTCCTCAAATTCTTCATCAAAATATCTAATAAATTAATCTTTTCCTTAATACAGAACACCCTCCTCATATATTTTCTCTCGCTTTCACATTTATGACCTTGCAGTATAACATGTTCTATTGTTTCATATTTTCCACAGTTATCACATCTGCCAGTAGTTTGCTTTTCAATTTTAATAACTTTATAATTAAGTCCTGTTTGCCCAAATCTTAACCTTATTATCACTCTCTCCTCCTTTCTATTTCGTCTTCCATTTCTTCTTTTTCCTACTATCTTCTGAATTTTATAAAATGTTTTCTTCATCCCACCTTTTTATGCTATTTTTCCATCGGTTTTTATTTAATAATACTCTTTCCCTCTGATTTCCTTGTTTTAACTGTAAAACTAATAGGATTATGAATTGCCCTCTTTGCCATTTTATCTACCCTCTCGTTTCCTTTTACTCCAATATGTGCTGGAGCCCACACAATACAACAATCAAACCCAAAGTTTTTATTCTGAATAATGTATAAAATATTTCTAATAGAACGTCCATCCTTTGAGGTTTAACTTTTAATGGATCAGGAGGAGCTTTGTTGATCCTCATGGAGAGTTTTCAGTGTGTTCTTGCTGTTTGGAACTTCATGCATTCAGGTTGCAGTGACTGGTTCTGTCTCAGAGGACTGATTGGGAACGAAAATGCAGCTCAGATTTATAAAGAAGACCTTAGTAGATCCTTTGAGTTTGTCCCTCTGGGTCACATTCAGCCTGAAGCCTCCTCAGGTGGCCTGAGGGCTCCGTCAGCCCGACAAGGCTCTGCTGTGCCTTAAAAACTGGGATCTTCTGAATGTTCTGACAGCATGGTGTCTGCAGACTGTTGGTCCAAACCTGATGTTTTCACCAATGGACTGTGGTTTAAATAACGGGTCATGTGATTTGTTTTTATGTCCTGAAGGCGTCCAAGGAGGCTGGACAGGCGCTGGTGTGTAAGATCAACCCGGGCTTTGACCTGCAGCATCACCACCTGCTCAACTGTCTGGAGAAAACGACGGTGAGGTCCAGGAAGCCCAGAGACATCCAGAGCCACTCCACAGTTTTCTCACCTTCTCCACCTCTTTGCTCCTCAGAACCACGAGTTTGTTGATGAGAAGTCATACGAGTCCAGCTGCAGGGAGTTAAGTCCAGTAAAGCAGCTGTCTCGGTCCTCCTCCACCTCCTCCTCTTCCTCGCTTCATGGCTTCTCCTGCTGTGGCCGCAGGAGGAGGAAGACCTTCAACGTCCCGAACTCCAACATGTCTCTGGGTCTGCAGGGCAGCATCCAGGAGCTGAGCACCATCCAGATCAGGGAGCGACCGTTCAGCAACAGGTTTGTCACCTATTGAACATGAATGTGTTACCGCGGAAACCGTCGATTACATGAAGAAGTCCTCATGTATGAACGTCATGCTTCAAGGTTTCTGAGGTTTTTTTGTTGATGAGACTTGAGAAAACGAACCATCAAAGGTGGATGAACATGTTTACAGTAGGAGGTTCAGATTTTTTAGCAAATCAGTAAAGTTTAATACACTGAAGGCTACATGAGCTGCAAAGATATGCAGATGTTAGACCAGAAGAGGAGAGTGAAACTGAGGAGGTTTCTACATAAAACAGCTTTAAGTTCTACCAGCAGATGATTCTGTGGATCTGTGCAGGGGCAGATTTAGGAAATTTGGGGCCCTAGGCAAAGACAGGCAGGGGGCCCTCTGAATTAAGAAGGCAACACATAAAACACACCCATTATACAGATAGGGAAATTTTAAAAGAATAGACATACATTATTTTGTCCCTCTCTTCTTGTCCCTTTTCTTCTTGTTTTCCTCTCTATGTTTTGTACTCAGCTGACTTTTCATGCTGTCTCTAAAGTAATGAAAGATTTTTTCCAAGCACTAAGCTCACTTAGCTGATTGCTCCTTCTTGTGTTTCCAAAAAGGCCAAAGTAAATAACCCAGTCCTTCTTTTCACTGTAGACAAGCCATGATCTGCTTCTCTGTTCTCCATTTTTCATTTGGATGAAATAATAGCTGCATGAATCATGACAGCAGACAAGATAGAGGAGAGCAGGAGGCGGGGTTACCAATCTACTCACTCTGGAGAGCAGAGTTCGCTGCTTTTAGATGTTGTCGCCAAAGTCTCCAGTAGCAGAAAGAAGTAGCTAGATTTGGCGCTTTTTTGAAACAATAGTGCTAGAGGGGTCTGAAAAGTTGCTAAATATAGCGACTAAAGCGCTAAGTTTAGTCGCTATATTTAGCGAGTAAGTAAATTTGCTGCTGTCTGATTGGACCTTTCTGAACATGTGCAGCAAATGGACTGATCCAATATGGTGGACACTGAGGGGGGGGCTGAGACGCACTTAGTATTATAAGCGTTCGGATGGCATTTTCGTGAAAATATTTTTATCAAAAACATAATTAATGTGCATATATAAGGAATAGCTGTAGTAACAATACATGGAAATACAGTTTTATGGGCCCCCAGGAATTTGGGGCCCTGGGCAGCTGCCCAGTACTGCCTAATGGTAAATCCCCCCCTGGATCCGTGGCACTTTGGTGAACAGAGGTTTCAGCAGCTGTGACGGTTTTATCGTAGCAGAAAAAATTGATTTGATTTCTTTATAGATCGTAAAGATGGTTAAGGGAATGCAGAGCAGATCTAGAATGATCCGGAGCAGATGTCCCAGGAGGTTATGTGGACATGTATGTCCTCAAAGATCCTGCAGCAACAGTTTACCTTCACTCTCTAACATCTTCAGCTTTAGCTCACACACAGATCGGCTTCTCCCTGGTCAGAGGAGGGAGGCCTTCTGCTTCAAACCCCAACTTGGATGAAGCGTTGCAGCCTTCCTGTCCAAACACATGGCGCCGAGCCGTCACATGACGGCGTGTTCCCACGCAGTGTCAGCCAGCAGGAATCCAGAGTATGTCCACAGCTGTGGGAGGCTGTGGGAGGACTGGGAACAGAAACCAGCTCCTGGTTCTGCTGCTTCTGTTCCAGCAGCAGCCATGAGATGATGACTCCTCTCTGGAGCGTTTATCTGCATGCTGACCTAATGGATCTGAACCTGCAGAAGAACCAGTGAGGATTAAAGCCTCACTGGTTCTCCTGTGGGTTATTGATCACTGTGAACCGGACCCCCCCATCGCAGCAGATCTGAGATTACTTTAATTGATTTAAAATGTCAATGGCGGACAGGAGGGCGGTCTGTGCGTCATCTGATGGATTAACACCTCGAGTTTTAAATATTTATCTCTGGTGATGAGCTCAGAGTTTGGATGGACTCTCTGCCATCACCCTTATCTGGTTGTATCAGAATCCATTTGTAACTCCAGAACATTTATATCAGAGCCAGTTAAAGAGAAACATATGGGTCATATGAATGGAGGACGTTACTCTGTGGGGGCGTGAATAGTTTAGTTATTTAATCAGAAGATCTTCAGTTGGTCTTAAAGGACAATGAGGAAAATGAATTTTTTCCCCTCCTAAACACATGTGGACAGAACTGTTTATTCCTCTGGATTCCAGGTTCTTACGTCTTCTCCTGTCTCTCCTCCCAGTCGATCCAGTCTGAACGCCAAGTTCCAGGAGACGCTCCCTCTGAACTGCGAGCAGCCATACCTCTCCCCGGCTGTCCTCAGCATTCCTACACCCGGCACCTCGCCGGACGGAGACCAGTCCACCAGTTCCACCGACTACTCCCAGACCAACATCGTCCGGGTTTCTGCTCTCTAGATCCCCTCTGGCCTCCCTTCCCCCCGACCTGCTGCTCTCGTTGCCGAGGCCGGGCTCCGACTGTGAGGGCGGGGCTGACCGTGGAAGAAGGAGCATCTCCATCACTGACTGGAGCTGGAACAGTATTCCTTTCCTTTGTTTTCCTTTCCTTTATTCCCTGATCAAACAGGCAGCTTGGTTCTCTCTGTGTTCAGGAGAAATGACTTTATTTATCTGAAGAAGAGCTTTTATTGACTGAATAGATTCAGAGTGAACATTAGATGAGCCGGGTTCTTCAGCACAAATACTGGAATCAGAAACAATCCAGTTAGAAATATACCAACCAGAACTTCCACCTGGACTGACTCCATAATCATACCGATGGTTTGGACCTGAAAAACCGGACAATACGTGAACATCCGCCTCGCCTTGTTGACCACTGAAAACGCATGAACACATTCACCTGCTCTGGTGTCATTTACGACTCTTAAACCCTGCAGCTGCTTTTCTTTTTCAATATTATCCTACATCTAAACCGACATAGTGCAGGTGAGGCTGTTAAAATCAGACCTAAAGCTTCATGCATCACCAGAAAACAATAGATCCCTGCAGCCAAATATCACTCAGGTGCCACTTTGCTCAGTGTCTGGAGGTTTTTCTTCTGGGTCAACAGCCAAATAAACGCTCTGCTCTTCCTTTCCTGACCACATCCTGCAGGAATCAGGTTATCAGGGGGGTCCAAGCCAGGAAATGCTCCCACCAAAGCAATGCAGTGACGGCTGCATATGTCCTATGGGACTGTACTTACTACTGCTGGTTTTCAACCCTCCATCACAGTGTTTGGGCCATTCTAAGGCAATGTCAAAATATGGTTAAAAGTTAAAAAGGTTTGTTTAGTTTGGGAATTTTTAGTTTTAAAATGATTCCGGCTTTAATTAGAAAGAAACATTCCTTATTTGCAGGAGAAATAAAAACCAGCATCATTGTTCTAAACCTGAAACTAAAAACTCGGTGATTCTCATTATGATTCAGCTCTCTTTGGTGGGACTCGGTCTTCATCCTCTGTTCTCTCTAGAGAAGAGAAACTCCAGAGCATAATGCTGCCTCTACCATGTTGCACAGTGGGCACAGCCTTGTCTTCCAGCCTGCTTATGATGAAAAACCAGAACAAACCAGATGTTCTTTCACCTCTTCCAGTCCTTCTCTCCTTCTTAAGGCTTTATTTATACTCAGAAACCAGGTCGTCTGCGTTTGTTGTAGTTAATGCAAATGTGCCCCACCCCTTCCGCAGACACTCTGCTGCACCTCTCCAAATATGTAGGTGACCGCAGACAGGAGGCCTCTGATTGGTCAAATCTGCATCTGCTCTACACTATGCGTATTTCCTGTTTGGTACCTTACCAGCTTGCTTAAAGGAAAATTCCGGTTTTTTACACTTTTAGCCCATTTTCTGTAGTGTCCAGGATGAAATCGAATGATCGACACCAAAAGTTTGACAATTGGTCCTGTCTCTGCTTTTTGGCTCATTTAGAATCCACCCCTGGCTGCTTTAGAATGGCTTCCATAGAGCATGTCCGATAATGTCCTTAAAACAACCTTAAATGTTCTTTTTTTAAAATATGCTACTCACCGTGTCGTCAGCGCTGTTCAATGACGTTCCAAAAAAAGTTTCGTGAATAAAAAACGTTCCTGTAGTGTTTTATTTAGCATTTTGTAAATCCCATTGAGTTCTGTTGGAATAGTCAATATTCCCCTGCCACCGGAAACGGAAATGGGGCCTGTTTACACAGTTGTAGTCTTTTCGCTTCACTCTGTGTACTCCGACGTCGAGGTGCTAACGTCTCTGTTAAACACTTTGAAAAACTCTGAAAATGGAATACGAAAGGTGGATTCTTGATTCTCGACGTCAGTAATTGAATCGTTTTTTTTGTACATGAATAAAGGGATAAATGCATGTTTGGGTTAGTTTTAAAGTCTATTTTTCCTACAAAACTAAAGGGATAAAATAAAGGAATAAACAGGTATGCTGGTCTGACAGAACATCAGCCCAGTTCTGGCCTGCTTGTTTCTTTTTCACTCTCATTCTCTAAAGCTGACTAATTGGTCTCTAAATGGACAATTTAATGGTTCGATTTGTAGATTTAAGGGTATTAATCAGCAGGAACTAAAACAGGAATAAAATGTTTACAGTTTAATTGATCCGGTTTCATTCTCATCAGAACATCCCTTTAATCTGCACATTATGGAACCCTTCATTCTTACTTTACTGATTTAAGTAATCCATTACAAACAGATTTTCAGGAAACTCAACAAAAGCACAAAATAAATCAAAGATTATTTCTAAGATGTTTTAGATTTTATGAGCCAAGCACTGATTCCTTATTGATGGTTTATGTAAATACCTACATGTTCGTCCTGATTACATTTTTTTATAATCTCATTTTCTTGTCAAAAGTCTGGGTGAAATTGAACGGGAGAAGGATGGTTTAAGCATCTGTCCCGGTCACTCATCCGAGCTCATGTTCAGTGTAATGCTATCCACAGCAGCTAACAGTTTTCTAAAGCCGGGCATACACTGTACAATTTTTGCCCTTTTCGGCCCGATTTTTCAGTCATGCGTGAATTTTTCAACCGTCGTGGGCAAACCGCTCAGTGGGCAAACAAGGATTCTTCTTCTTCTTCCTCACAGATGAAAATACAGCAGCATGGTGGGGGTGTGAGTGAAATGGAGTTCTTTCTGTAAAATTGACAGACTGTAGTATGCTGATAAAGATTCTCAGTCAACCAGGTCATAGTCATTGCATGTTTCCAAGCGATACAAGGCTTTGTCAGTATAAGACTCAAACTCACTGCGGATCCAGACATTTGAATTGAGAAAGCTTCCTGGAGAGGTGGAGAAACGTCTTCAAATCTTGAAAACCAAGTCAAGTGGATATTTGTTGAATTTTTTACGGAACAGACTGTAGTAGCAATGTTTGCTTAGTCATGTCTTTGTCTAAATACGTCATCGACTTTTCTTTTTAGGGCTTTCAGCACAAAATTGCACAAATTGTCAAGGCAGCACGTTTCACTCTGGCGAACTTCATATTCCTCTTCTACTCGCATGGCTTCAAGATAGACGAGTCCGAGTAGCGCCATCTCACTGCGGAGCTGAGTCCCACCTGGTTTTTAGACGTACAGTGTGAGCAGGTAGATCCAATCAAAGCATTTGGCCGCACAGTATGAGAACATACATCGAGAGCTGGGAACATTTAAACCCTGCGGTTTCATCGTACAGTGTGAGCTGTAGCTGCGTGCAACGATTGAAAAAAATCATACAGTGTATGCCCAGGTTAAAGGTCATTCAGGTCTCTATTATATCCCATCAGCCCTTTTATTTTCCTGGATTTATCTGATATTTTTTTGGATAAATAAAGCAAAGTATCATCAGCATAAAGAAGGAATTTATCCCAAGCCAAAAATTTAGATAAACATAAAAGTGGAAGCATGTGAAGAGAACTGAGCTTTATGTTCCTCCATGCTTGGTTCTGAAGGGTCCGATAAATCATCTCAGGCCACGAAAAAAAGTTTAAAAGTCCAGATTATCAGACATCTTTAATTAAACGTGTCTTATAATTTCTACCAGAACAGATTAATAGAAACACATAATTTCATTAAACTCAGCAGTGGCTGACTTGGATTTAATTTAAGGCAGAAAGTTGCAGAAATATTGTATTCAGAGAAGGAGCGAGCTGATCTGAACCCGTCCGGACTCGATGCACACAGTCCAGCCTCTAACAGAACACTGTGATCCCACCAGGTTAGCGGTACTGATACAGGAACGCTGCATCTTCTTTCCAACATCAAACAAAAACTAAACCAAAGCAGGTGATGTTCAGCAACAAGCTGGGGTTTCCTCACAGTGAAGGACTCTGAGGAGCTTTAAGAGACATTGGGTCTGCAGTAGACCTGATTGGTGCGGAGTGGCCAGTCTTCCCTTCTAGATTTATAGAAGCACATTGATCTAGATGGACCTTCCAGAACTTACGCTGGTTAAAACTCATGAACTTTTGTGATTTTTGATACAGAGGTCTCCTTTTGTAAAGCAAAGTAACGGAACATGGCTGGTCGTCTGTGGTTCTATGAGGACAGAGGATGAAGATGTCGCCTCAGCATCGCTTCTCTATGAGCTCTGTGTATTTTTGGAGACATTTATCAAACGGCCAACCTGCACCCTCCATCTCTGCTCACTTTGACGTTTGCAGCGCAGCCGTTTGTGGGTCTCTTCTCTCTCTGGTTTGTATCTACAGACCCAGCAGCTCATTGTAAAAACTGAGATCAGAATCTTTCCCCTTGTTTCTGGTGAACATGTGATGTAATTGTTATTTGGCGTTGTCTATAATTTATTTTTTTCAATGATTTCCAGGACATGTTCACATTTCATTCCTTATGATGTTTTTCTAAAGCCATGCATGTGTGTGGAGCTGACCCAGAAATGATCTGTACAATAAAGAGGATTATTATCGCTCCTGTGGTTCCTGGTCTTTGTGGTTCCTAGGTGAGCAGTGGGATGTTTATGTTTCTGGACCTGCGTCCAGCTGGGCTCAGATCAGTGCTGATAAAGGCCCTCTCTGATAGTGGGGTTCACGTTTTAACAAAGACGAACAATATCAGACCCCCTTCAGAGTCCTGGGGTCTAGGCCCTGAATAATCCACATTAGACATACGGATCATGGCTGAAAGAACCTGGGACTTCCACATTGAAAGGAGGTTGGTCTCCTTCAGTAGGAAGCTCAGTTCTGCTTCTACTGCTTTGATGCATTATCTGGTTGCTTCAGTCACAATCCACGTCTTTGATACAGAGGTGAAGGGCTGGATGGTAGATGGAGCAACAAATCTAGAGCTTCAGCTCCTCCTTCAGACACAGACTGCAGCCAAAGATCTCATTATCGTCTCCATCTCTGTTCCTCCACTGAATGAAGGAAAGCTGTGCGGCTGCATGGAGGAAGGATTCAGAGAAGGTCAGTCGAGCTTCACATCGTTTCATTCCACTGACCAGTTTGAAGATAATTCAGTGGAAAGAGAAGCTGGGGCCGTTTCTCCTTGGTACCACATTGCAGAGCTCCAGAACTCAGACTTATGCTACGTTCAGACCGCAAGCAGCAGCAGCAGAAAAAACGCTAAACAAGTTTAGTTTTGAGGCACAGCTGAAGCATCTTTGCTGCTCTAGCTGCGCGGTGGAAAAGGTCTGATGCACATTTGGCAGAGCTATTCTATCCTTTCTTTGCCTGTAACAATGGCAGCTATATTTGATGTGATCAGTGGGTAAAAGGTAGATTTAATATGTTTTTATGTGAGAAAGTCCGCCTGAAAACTTCATCTGTGCAGTCAGTTCATCCAGATTACCATCCTGCCTTCAAATATTGTTTCTCTGTTGGATTCGCTCAGACCCCCGTACGCTGTCCCTGGGAATCCCGTTCAAAAGCAGCATCTGGCCCGGTCGCCTCTTTCTGGTTTTCCACTACTGTTTGCGGTGGCTGAAAGGCGTTTTTCATGTACGAAATCCAAATTGCAGGCACCAGAATAATCAAATCAAACCTATTTTGCCAGCAGGATTTCATATTTTAAGTTAATTTAGGCGTTTATAAACTGTTTCAGAGGAGTGATCATAGCGCTCTGCATCAGCAGTGCTGTGTCTGTCTCCCTGCCAGCTCCCAGATCAGCTTCTCCGATTGCGAAGCATCGAGCAGCAAAAGTTAAATTTTTCCTGCTGCATTTTCAGCACTTTGCGTGCATGAGATGCTCAGGAGCTCATGACGCACTGCTCCTACTGCTCAAAATGTGTTGCAAGACCTTTTGCTGCGCGACGATATGCATCAACCATTGACTTTGCATGAAAACTAGCTGCTTGTGCTGCTTGCAGTCTGAACGTAGCATTATTGGACTGCTCTTGTGGAACCTCTGACCTTCGGCCTTCGGAGTCTGAGAACATGCAGGTTGTGGGGTAAAAGAAAGAATCAACTGAATGATATTGTAACCATTTAAGTTAAATGGTTTGAATTAAAAGCATTTTCAGTTCTAAACTGGGACCAGTTCTGCCTCAGAACCAGTTCTCCAACCAGTTAATAAATGGTTCAGATCAACCAGTGTTGCTGATCATGTGTTGAGCTTCAGGTATTTGTTGGTTCCTTGAATCTGAGGTAAGTGGAGGTTTCACCTCGAGCTTATTTCTTTACTGCAAACTCAGGAACTTTAAAGGTGGCGGCAGAAGCAGTGATGTGGACAAAACCTTGTTTGCAAAGATATGCCCCCGCCCCCTTCCGCAGACACTCTGGTGCACCTCCCCAAAATTGTAGATGACCGCAGATAGTGCCGGAAGGAGGCCTCTGATTGGTCAATTCTGCGTCCGCGCTACACTTTGCATATGTCCTGTTTGGTACCTAATGGCAGAAACTCTGGCTGTAGTGCCGTCCACAACGTCTGGCACACCTCGGACACTATTCCAGACGCCATGCAGGACGCTAGTTTGTACCCGAAGCCAAAACAGGCAGCGCTAAGGCCAGTCTTTCAGGAGCACTCATGGGTGAACTGATGAGGGGTTGTAGACGGTGAACCAGCTCGTCAAACTGACACACAAAACCCACACTCCTAGCCAATTCGTGTTTGTCCCTCTTTTGTTGTGGCGTTAAAATAGCGTAGACCACGCTTCAAAATTGTGCATAAATCAAAAATATCTGCGTCATACCTGCAGTAAGCTAACTGCGACACACTGCTGCGGCAGCATACACAGCCTTTAAGCAGCAATAAGTGCTGCAATTCATAAAGTCAGTTTCTTTAGAGCTGCGTTATCCTGCAGCGTTCAGCCACTCCGCCTCCACCTGAGCATCTCTCAGCTCAGCCTGAGCAGCAGACATGTCCGTACGTCCCTTCATCATGTGGCTGCAGCCATATTTGGAGGATCCGGTAGTGGTTCCGTTGGTTGCTGCAATGGAAACACAGTCTTCAGGCAGCACAGGTGTCGCCTCTGAGTTCGGTTTCTGAAACTGTTTGCCGTAATAAAGCGCCCAAAGCAGCGTGAGCGTCAGCGCCATGGCCAGGATCTGTGCCACGCCGATAGAGACCCCCAGGAATCGCAGCACCTGAAGCTGCTTCGTCCCTCGAATGAAGCTGTAGATCTTCGGACCGCAGCCCTGAAACGGATACAGACAGGAAGTGAGGTTTTCCCTGAAGCTTTGCTGTGACTGGCTTAGAGCGTCGTGTGCTGCCCAGTGAGTCTCACCTCCTGGTGGAGGTCGCTGAGGTCATGCTGGTGGGCGTGGCGAGCGCAGCCCGGGTACTGATGGGTGCAGCAGGAGTCAGGAGGCCACTCCATCTCTGTCATCTCCAGCCAGTCGGTGAAGTAGATCACCCCACAGCATTTAAACTGACAACACAAACACACACCTGTAGGCACCCAGGTCACATGACCACCGCATCAGTGTGTGGGTGTGTTACCTGTGTCTGGAAGCTGTCCCAGGTGTGTGTGAGCCACTGATACTGCTGCAGGCCGTAGTTCGGCATCCGAAACTTCAGACTGATCATGTCAGCTCGCTGTACTGAGGGCTGCACACACACACACACACACACACACACACACACACACACCATAATAAATAATGATCACAGGAAGTTTTGTTCCATTATTGTTGCAAGAATAGATTAATTAATTTTGTAAATGAAAAAAAAACAATTCAAACAAGAAATGAAACTTTGCTGTTTTGTCAGATGCTACGTTTTCCAATTTTTTTTTTTAATATTCAAATAATTTTTAAAATTTTTTCAAATGTAATATTTGTAATTCTCTATAGTTATGCTGCTATAGGCTTAGACTGCTGGAGGACATAGGGACCCCTTTTTCATCATTCTATCTCTATTCTCCCACTCTGCAGAATCTGTTAGTTCAATCTCTAATGTTCTGCTCTCTCTGCTTTTTCTCATAGTAGCTTCATCTGGTCTGTTCCTGTTTGGCTGTGACTCCATCCTGGAGAGAAATATCAGCTGTGCTGCTGCCATCAACACCTTTGTTTATGGATGTTGGAGATCGGTCTGTTTTTCAGTGTAGTCCTGTTTCTCTGACTGTGACTAACTGGATGTGCTCTCTTCATCCTCTGACATGGGAGCTGGCTCGGAGCTCGTCTGCCTGGCTGTGTGTTTCCTGGACGGGGCCGCCTTTTACAGTTGCCTTTTGTATCTCTTCTTCTGTCTCCTTGAACCCCAGTCGGCCTCAGCAGATGGCCGCTCACACTGAGCCTGGTTCTGCTGGAGGTTTCTTCCTGTTAAAAGGGAGTTTTTCCTCTCCACTGTCGCTACAAGCATGCTTAGTCTCAGGGATTGCCTTTGAGTCAATGAGTCGATGTAATCAACTGGTTTTCCTTAGATAGAAAACTTTGAATCAATGTGACTGGATGATCTGGTGAACTGTAAAGTGCCTGAGATGACATGTGTTGTGAATTGGCGGTATAGGAATAAACTGAATTGAATCTAATAAATTTTTTTTCTGAAATTTCTGATTTGTTTTTGTTTTTTTTGTGGTGATTTTCAAAATGACTTTTCCTGGTCACATTCTGTTCCCTTTTGGGGATATCCTCTGGAATGAGGAGTGAAGATACATTTCTATTGAGGTTGATCTAACCCTCAGAGAACACCTCCACCAGCCTCCTCTAACTCTGACTGATGTGCTCCACTGGTGTTTTAATCTGACCAGACCTTCTCTTTCCTCTCATCTTTACTGCTGATAAGGGGTCTGCAGGCGGGGGGTAAAGCACACATAGCTGCAGTCTGAAGAGCCACTTGATACTCCAGATTTTGCAGTTAAATATTTGCATCTGTTTAATTAATAAATGAAAGTATAGAGAAGGTTAGCAGAGGTTCTTTCAGCCCAGAACTTGTCCTGACAGGTTATCATAGCATAAGCAGTTCTCCTGTAAAACATCTAATCTGTGAGTCAAAACCACTAATGGGATCAGATCTTCATAAGCATCCATTTCCAGCCCGATCAGAGGTAAAGCAGAACCTGCAGGCCGGCTCTGCAGCAGGTTCCTGAGTGCAGTCCGATTTGAGGTTGTGGTGTCTAAAATAGTGAAAGGTGAGCAGATCTGGGAGCAGCGAGCCGGACGTGTCTCACGTTTCTGGTTATTCTTAGAACCGGGTCGTGTTGGAGACCTGGTTCTGGACCAGCAGCTGAATGTCTGTGAACGCTGCAGCTGCTCAGCTCGACCTGCCGGGCTGAGCAGGAAACTTTCCCTTTGTAACAGCAGACAGACAGATCTGATGCCAGTGGAAGGTTCTATGGTTAGTGTCTGAGGTTCTGATCCAAATCGGGTTCTCCTGCATGGATCATTGTTGTTGACAGAACCTGTGCTTCTGATTGGATGAAGGAAAGTCCCTCACCTCGTCGTAGGTCCACACAGCAGAGGCCAACTCCACACAGAAAATCACCAGCAGGCTGCAGAAGTACTGAAAAACACACCAGAACAAAACCCAAACATCAACTCACTCTGCAGGTCTGCTGCCAGACGGTTCCATCAGCAACTTCAGAACCAGAACCAAATAAGGTCAATGATTCCTAAACTTATAAGCCAATAAAGGTAACAAGAGCTAGAACTGGAGCCAGCAGACCCAGAGAGAACGGAGCAGAAACGGACCGGTCTGACGATGGATGCTTGGTAGCAGCTGAAGATATCCGGTTGAGTTTAAATAAAAAAAAAACAAAGCAGGTCTGGTGAGTAGCTCAGCCAGTAAGAAGGCTGGCTGGTTATCTGAAGGTTGTTGGTTTGAATCCACAATGCCTCTTTCTGGGGAGTGTTGGCCCAGTGGTTAGAGCAGTGCGCCTGTGCTCTGAGAAGATTGCAAGTACCCGGTTTGATCTCCACAGCCTCCACTCTGGGTCCCTGAGCAAAACCCTAAACCCCACACTGCCCCCCGGGTGTCACACAATGGCAGCCCACTGCTCCCCAAGGGGATGGGTTAGAAGCAGAGAGTTAATTTCTCCATTGTGAGCTCAGTAATGTTAAATTTTTTTTATTTATTAAAAGAATCTGTTAGGATAATTATCATTTATGTTGTGTGAGTTTATTACACCTTAATATTAGCTGCCTGTTGCGTGTCAGAACTGATCCAGTTTGTCCGGATACACAGATATAATCTTCATTCTGTATGTGGCAAAGATTTGGTAATGGAATGAGAGCGGTGTCCTCTAGCTAAGACCAAAGTGAAATATTTTGATAAGGCTGGAGCCATGGATCTATACTCATCTGCTAACATGTATGATGTAAAATATGATGATGAGGCAGACTGGAGTTGTATAAAATGACTCTTTACCTGTTAATCGGGGCCACTTCCCTAGAAGTTAGCCCGGTTGGTAAGCAGCTGCCTTCTGTAACTCTAAGCAACTTCTCTGATCTGAGTAAGATTACATTTTCTATCTAAATCTGTTGTCATGTCTCCTGGTTATTTAATACATATAAATTATGAAATATTATTTAAAGAGTTTGTCCTGAGTGATCTCTGTTCAGAAAAATGAACCGGAGAGAGAAATCTTCAAGGTGTAGACACAGAGCTTTCTATTTTAACAAATCCTTCATGGACTCTACTACAGGGTCCTTCCGAGGAGCATAATTCTGGAGGAAAGGATCCGTCTGAACCGGGATAAGAACGAGCTTCTATACGGCGGAGGAACTGAGGACGCGTTGAGTCAGACTGGTTCCCAGTTAGTTCTGGATTCTAGTTTTTTACAGGTTCGGTTCTGCCTACCAACTGAACTCTTTCTTTCAGCTCAGAGTCCCTCCCTGCTGGTCCCACTGAGAAGAGACCTTCAGACCCCACCCTAGAACATCATGGTGGACAACCAGAGGAGAAGGTCAGAGGACGGTTCTGAGGATTCCTAGTTTTCCATCTCTGAGATGTTCTGTATGTCCCAGCTAAGCAGAACCAGCTGTGTGGGTCAGCTTGGTCTAGAGCTGTATGTCCTGGAACCTGCACGAGCCGTGGATGGTGGTTCCGTCTTGTTCCACAGAGAACCAGAGGGAGCTTTTACTGCAGAATCTCCTCCTCTGGTGGGTTCTGCTCTGTCGGGTCACCCTGATCTCCATCTGGATCTGGAGCAGAACCCTCTGAGAAGGTGGCTTTAACTTTCTAGCTCTAACTTTCTGCTCTGGGTTTCCAGATGTTTTTGAGTCCAAGCTGTGGTAGTTCTGTTGGTGAGAACTCGGTACCGCTGAGGTGATTGCACCGGGATCCCCTTGAAGACCACAACTTCAGAAAGAGTTCAGTTTGGGCTCAAAGTGGGATTCCTGGGGATCTCCTCGGGTTCTGGTTCCAAGCAACCTTTGGCAGCACCGGCCCGCTGCTCCACTTTCTCTCAAATGTTCTGCCATGACCCATGTGTGTTTATAGGTGCTGTAGGAGATCTTGGAAAAGATCCAGAAAGCTATATTTTTGAACATACACAACCATGCCTCTCCCTTCAGACCATCCCTCGAAACCACGCCTTCAAAACACATGAACACGCATGCTGTCTGCAGCGCGTCTAGAGCAGCAGGAGCGTCTGAGCAGTGATGATGCAGAGCGCTATGATCACTCCTCTGAAACAGTTTATTAACGCCTAAATTAACTTAAAATGCCGTAATCAGCAGGCAAAATGTTCGTTTTTATTATCCTGGTGCCTGCAGTTTGGATTACGTAAATGAAAATTGCCTTCCAGCCGCCGTGGCCAACCGCAAGGAGGCAACCAGGCCAGAGGCTGCTGTTGAATGGGATTCCAACGACAGCGCACCGCCGGTGTACCTGGGTCTGAGCGGCTCCGACAGAAATAATAATTGAAGGCAGGATGGAAAACCCGATGAACTGACTGCACTGACAATGTTTTCAGGTGGACTGTCTCACTTCAAAATAGATTCAAGCTACTTTTACCCACTGATCAGAGCAGATATAGCTGCCATTGTTACAGGCAAAGAAAGGATAGGGTAGCTCCGCCCAACGCGCATCAGACCCACTTTTTTCACCGCGCAGCTAGGGCAGCAAAGATAGGGTGACCAGACTTCCTCTTTTTCACGGACATGTCCTACTTTTCAGCCCTAGAAAAAGGTCCGGGGGGGATTTTAAAATCGTGCGGGATTTTGGTCGACTACAGTGCAGCACGTAGTCGAAACAGGGAGCCAGCGGAGGACGGAGGGATCGAACCTGATCGGGTAGTGGTAGCCTGGACAAGCTGGCCCCATGCTTCCCCCCGCCTGCCTTACCAGTCCCCAGCCCCCCCTCCTCCAGAGTACGTGCACAGGAACCAATCATGTACAACGGACCGTCTTTTGTGATTGGTTGGGGTTATTCCAGACCTTCTATTTCACTGCTTGCTAAGCAGCTGTGGGCAGATCTTTAAGCCACATGGTAAAAAATGCATCAGAAAAGATCTCCTACTGCACCTTTAAATGTTTTCTGTAGATAAAGTGATCTGTTTGGACCGGTCCGGACTGAACGCTTCAAATATAAACTGTTCTGTACGAACCGGTCCATCCAGTGTTTGCATAGAACCTGACTGTTTGTTGAGAGGTTGGTACCCAGGAGAGCAGTAGCAGGTCGGACCGCAGCGTGCCGCAGTACCCGACCATGGCCACGATGAGGAGGAGGCAGCACACGCAGATGAGGACCGGATGGACCGCCGGAGAGTAGGTGAGGACCGCAGCGTCCTCCAACCTGCAGCAGGAGAAACACCTTTCAGAACCAGAACAGCTTCTAATGTCCGGGATCCTTTGGTCTACAGCAGGGGTTACCAATTAAAAATCTGTGGGGTCTGAATAAAGAAAATCAATAACCAGTAAAGGTCTGGAGACATTTTTTATTATAATCTGTTACTTTAAACAGAATTGAACACTGAAATAAAATGATTTTTTTATGCATCCATGTGACTATTGACTATTTAAATAAAATAAAAAATGAAAAAAACAGAACATTTTTCCATTTTAAATCTAAATTGTTTTAGGAACGTTTAAGGCCCGTGTTCCACTGCAGGTCATTCTTCCCTGCTGCCATCAGACTCTACAAAGCAGCACTATAAGGACAATAACTTGAGCAATATCTAATGTGCAATTACTATTTAATATCCTGTGCAATAAATTGTTTTTCATATTTGACACCCAGTGCAATAACAATATATATAAATACCCATCTATAGTAGCCATTCAAAATGTCCCCACTTTCCTTGATGGGCCCTTAGCTGGTCCTCAGCTGGCCCCTGGCTGGCCTCCTATAATTCCTTTATTCCTTCTGTCATGATTTGTGGACATTAAGATCTAAAGAGCGGCATTATCTCCTGGTCAGACGCTGTAATTCAGTGAAAGGGTGGAGTCAGAGTAAAAAAAATATGCACGCCCATGAGAAGGCCAGTAGCTGGAAGTTGGAGGGGATTTTGCTGGGAGCTGCAGGGAAGTGCACTGCCATTCGGCTGGCATTTGACTGGACTAGGAAGGGCCATTTCGAATGGCTGCTACTGTAAATACCCATTTAATACCTTGTGTAATAACACTGTATGATAATCCTGTTAAATAAGAGACTTAAGATGTTATACAGTATATACATATATGTGGACACACTGTATTCAGTTTCCATTCAATTCAGTTTATTTCTATAGCGCCAAATTCAGAACACATGTCATCTCAAGGCACTTTACAGTTCAACCAGATCATCCAGTCAGATTGATACAAAGTTTCCTATCTAAGGAAAACCAGTTGATTGCATTGACTCATTGACTCAAATACAATCCCTCACACTAAGCATGCTTGTAGCGACAGTGGAGAGGAAAAACTCCCTTTTAACAGGAAGAAACCCCCAGCAGAACCAGGCACTGTATATACTGTATATACACCCCCCCATGTACCTTTTCCTCCTTTTGGCACCTTCTTCTTCTTTTTGGCTATTGAGCCGATGTAACAAGTACACTTTTCCGCTGTGAGATCAATAAAGCCAATCAAATTATCAATCGATCACTGAGTGGTACGGTCAAGGTAACCACGGTTCTAAAGTGCTTGAATGATCCAGATACAGCTAGTCTTTCCACTCAAAGTCTCTCTGCAACCAGACATCCCGGTGTGATGTTGCTGTGCACCAATCTGGTGGATTGCTACACCCCTAGCCCCGCCCCTAAGCGGACCGCACCAATTATTCTCCAGCTCAATCAAGGAAACACTAAAAATATCTGATTAGACTGAACCGCATCGAACCACTCAGCGGAAACAAGGCGCGTGCCCAGATCATTATCCCTCCACCACCGTGTCTGATGTGCTGAACGAGACCATGATCCAATCAGAACTAATCCAAGGAATAAGGAAAAATTAAAAATCAGGATCTAATCAGAGATGATCGATGGAGGTAGAACCACAGCATGATTCAGGGCTGGATCCAATCAGTAGAGCAATGTTCAGATGTTCTGATCTCCAGGACGTTCTTTTAATTCAGACTTCTGTCACAGTCAGGCTGACTGGTCTGCGGGACAGCTCCTGTTGGACTCACCTGGTGTGGGCTGTCAGGGTCAGGACGGTGTTCAGGGTGTCTCTGATCCACGCTGCCACACCGAGCACACACACCGACATCAGCTGCGCAGAGAGGAATCAACAACACGGATCAGTTTCTGCCGCCTGGAAATAACCCCTGAAAATGTGAGACATGCTGAGGCAGATGCAGCACGGCCCACTTCCCCTGCAGACCCGCTGCTCTCGTTGTCAAGCTGCCATCCTAGCTTTTACGCCCGATCAGAGAAGTTCTCACACGAGCTCCTCCACCTGAGTGGATGTCCCATGTGAGAACTGCACGGTGCGTTTTCACAGCTATGCATCAGGACCGGCTGCTGCTTATTCTGCTGGTCTGATAACCTGTCACGGCGGCGGTAGAATCATGGTTAGTATGAATGTTGCCACTGTCTCACCCAGAACAGCAGGTTCAGCGCATAGAGCAGGCAGCGCAGACACCTCACTGCATCCTCCTGAGCCATATCCAGACCGCAGCTGCCGTGAGCGGCTCACCTGAGCCCAGGACCCCATGGCCCCATGCTCACTGCAGACACCTGACACCGTGGAGGGGCTCGCTTCTGGAACCAGAGCCTGGGTCCGTGCCTAACATCCACATTCCTCCCAACAGGTGGTTTCCTAGTTTCCCTCACCTCCTAGGCCGATTGATGGAGGTTCTGCAGCTGATATCTCCAAATCCAACATCACTCTCTGAACCCGACCCAAAGAGAACTCAAAATGTGTTCAGTCTCCTTCCCAGAAGATCCAGCAGCATCAGGCTGAAGCTGCAGAGCTGAAAACCCACAAAGATCCAGAGATCGGCTTCAGAACCTGCTCCTGCTGTAAACACTCCAAGCAGACGTCCTGTCCCAATGCCTCCTCTTCCTAAATAAAGCTGCGGCGGGCTCCCCCCTCTGACACTCCCTGTCCCTCCCTCTGTCCCTCCGTCAGCGGCTCCGGGTCCTGGGGGAGGACAGAGGAATGTGTCCGCCTCCAGCCGCAGAGGCACACGGTCAGCAGGCTGTGAGGAAGAGGATGAAGCTGCAGGGAGGAAGCCACACACACGGCAGCTTCCGCAGCGATCTTTATGAGGACATGTCATTCATTTTCATTCATTGGAAACAGGGCCGACCCAAACCCAGACCGGGCCCAGCAGAACCAGCTGATCTGTGGTTTATCAAGCATCTAAAACCACGTCATCATGGGGGGGAAACAATGAAAACTCTGTTCCCACTCCCACTGTGGAGAGTATGAACTCCCTCACAGAGCAGTGGCAGTCAGAGATTTGAACCAGCAACCTTTTGACCTAACACTCTGCTCTCCAACCACTGAACCACCACTACCACACCAGAATAATCCAGCTGATTTGGGCCCAGTCCTGTTTCTCTCACTTGCACTCAGTTTGGACCCTAGCACTCAGTTTTGCTCGTTCATATGTAAGGTTAGTGTGTCCCAATAGTTATAAGAGCTGGGGGGGAAGTGCCTTCCAGCCCTTAAAATGATCCCTTCTGACCAAGTGAGGTCAGGAGCTGACTTTGGAATGGAGTGGCTTCCGAGAACTCATTCAGTAAAAATGGAAAAATGCTGTCCGGCTGTTGTAAAGAACTAGCCTGACGTAGTCCTACTCAACTCAGAATATGAGTCTGATACTGCTCCATAGAGCTGTGATTATGGGGCGTGTTTTAAACGAACCAGGAAAAAAAATGCCTCTGCACTCAGTTGGATAGACCTACAACCAATAAGAGCAACGGAGTGCGTGACATATGTTAAGCGACCAAGGGAGCCAGCTGATAAATTAAACTCTTGCCGAATCCCGTAGGAAGGACGCCAAAAACATCTTTCTTTTCAACAAATGCCTTGATCGCGTTTCTCTGTTCCTCTTTTAAAATTAATTTGCTGTCGATATCTTCTAGAACAGACCTAATAGCAGAATCTACACACCTAAACTCTCCAGTGGCAGCCATTGTTGTTGTCACCCAAGCGCGCTTTGGTGACGTGGTTGATTACGTTACTGTTGATCATCTGTCCATCATCGTATAACGCCCGCCCTGACAAGTTGATTGGCCCGACCAGATATTGTGCGAGCATACTCGCGCTACTATTGAGCAATGCCAGACCGAACTTCCCGACTTCAAACGTTGTGGGCGGGACTAAGTTTGGAATGGCACCCAGGCTAGTAAAGAACTGCACTAATGTAAATATATTAACCACACATTTTTTTCTTTTCATTTTTGGAGTTTTTATGGCACTAGCGGCTCGTTTCTCTGACAGTAGGATGAGAGGAAAGGGGGTATGAGAGAGGGGGAGAGACATGCGGCAAAGAACCACAGGTCGGATTCGAACCCCGGTCCGCTGCATAAAGGACTAAAGGGCTGGTTATACTCCCGCAGCAGTGTGTCGCAGTTAGCTTGTCGCTGGTGTGAGATGGTTCTAGAAACGGGGGCAAGTTTGTCGGACAATGAAGGGACATGAGGGCGAAAAAGAGCAGGGATCCAGGTGGAAAAGGGGTCCCAGCGTTCTCGAGTCGTTTTGCACAATGGCGGTCATACAAACAAAACAAGGCAGTAAGGTACAAAACAGGAAATACGCATAGTGTAGAGTGGATGTAGATTTGACCAATCAGAGGCCACCTGTCTACGACAACCTACAATTTGGGAGAGTTGCACCAGAGTATCTCAGAGTGTCTGCGGAGAAGGCGGGGACATCTCCACGTTCATTGTGACACCTACGCGGACAAACAAATTTCGAAGTATAAATAAGCCTTAAGGCCTCCGTACATGGGTCGTGCGCACTAACCACTATGCCAACTGCAAGCCCACGCATTTAAAAAAAAAAAAAAGTTGGGATATCTTAGTTAGACATAAATACAACTGAATTCCTAACTGTTGTGTTAAAATATGAATATTGTTATTTCTTTTGCTATTTTTTCGTTATTTATTTGCTATTTCTTTTAATACGCAAATCTACCCAGTTTTTTTCAAGGTAACGTAGGATGTTTATGACCGCAGTGGGGTTGGTTGGATGTTCGGGCACCACGGGGTCAGCTGGATCTAGCTCAAGGTTGATCTGATTGAGCGTCTCTCAGTTGCCCATGCAGAAGGTGACTCAGGATATGTTCACGCATGACATAGGTGAAAACATCACTGAAGTGTACGGTCTGATGTAATTTTACAACTAGTGGTGTCCCATTCCTTAGGGAGAAAGTCTTAACTTGTACTTCCCTTATTGAGTGTACTTCACTGTGGGGCAAACTCACTGGAGTGTTCTCAGAACCAACAGCGAGAAATTTGGACTGGGCCCTAGGCCTTGATTCCACCAACATGTTTGTTCTGACTTTGGCTCCTGTATGAATTCTGTCCAGACTGGGATCTATGTGCAGGACCATCATGATTAGGGTGATGGTAAGGGGGCCTTTCAACATTAAAGACTTGGAGCTCAAAGATTAACATTTGTGAGGAGTTCACATCCCATCAACACTGAACCAAATGGCTGCACCAAACAAAGTTTAAACTCCAGCTGAATGAAGCGGGTTTCTCCATTAAAGAACATTATAAGCACCACATGTTTCTCCTCTTGTTCTGATTCTGAGACCAAACAGGACGTCTTTTGCTGGAAAGACTTGACTTTTCAAATCTATTAGATATAACTGTTAGAGTTAGGGTACCCGTAGCTCTAACTTATCATGCTATCGTCAAACCAATACAGGCGAAAAGAAGTCCTTCAGCTAAACATATATATATATATTACAGGAATGACTCTTGAATCTTGTATTTATTTGTTCATTAACTCTTCAGTTTTCTTTTCTTATGGTACTATGCCCCAAGTTCCTAGGGAACAAATAAAATTCTGTTTTCATGTATCGATAATACACTACTTACAATAAGTAAAACTATTCCTTATCTGTGCACATTAATTATGTTTTTGATAAAAATCTTTTCTCTAAAACGCCATCAGAATGCTTATAATATTAAGTGTGTCTTAGCCCCCCCTGCAGTGTCCGCCAAATTGGATCAGTCCATTTGCTGCACATGTTCAGAAAGGTCCAAACAGACAGCAGCAAACCATTTGAAAACAAACAATGCAAAGAGCAGTGTTGCTAACTTAGCGCTTTTGTCGCTATATTCAGCGACTTTTTAGACCCCTCTAGCACTTTTATTACAAAAAAGCACCTAGCGCCAAATCTAGCGACTTTTTTCTGCTACTGGAGAATTTGGTGACAACATCTAAAAGCAGCTAACTCTGCTCTCCAGAGTGAGTAGATTGGTAACCCCGCCTCCTGCTCTCCTCTATCTTGTCTGCTGTCATGATTCATGCAGCTATTATTTCATCCAAATGAAAAATGGAGAACAGAGAAGCAGATCATGGCTTGTCTACAGTGAAAAGAAGGACTGGGTTATTTACTTTGGCCATTTTGGAAACACAGGAAGGAGCAATCAGCTAAGTGAGCTTAGTGCTTGGAAAAAATCTTTCATTCCTTTTGAGACAGCATGAAAAGTCAGCTGAGTACAAAACATAGAGAGGAAAACAAGAAGAAAAGGGAGAAAACCTAGAACTAATAATGTATGTCTATTCTATTAAAATTTTTGTATCTGTATAATGGGTCTGTTTTATGTGTTGTCTTCTCAATTTAGTGGGCCCCCGATTGTCTTTGTCTAGGGCCCAAAATTTCCTAAATCCGGCCCTGGTTGTAAATACCCTTACTGTACAGAATCTTATTCTAAAATTTAGCTTTAAACTGTTTGTCAATCTTCAGACTTGACTTGATTTGGTCAGTGATTCCAGTCTATTCTATCCTTTATAGTTTCTTTATAGTACTTTGAACAGAGATCAACTGCTAAGCAATTGTTTTCTTATTTATGAATAAATTGATTTATTAATCAATTTATTTATCAATTTCATTTTTTTATGTCGGCTTAAAAAGATAAGAGAGGAAATTAAGAAGAAAACAGTGTGAAGATCCTGTGATTTGTAATAATTTAGTTGCAAAAAGCAAATAGTACTTAATAAAATATACTTTGAAGCTTAAAAGATTAAATTAAAAATATTGAGTTTTTTTTTTTATTAAATTGAATAAATGTGACGAACATGAAAGCGTTAAGGAACCAAATCAAGTATTTTGCTGTAAATTATAAGCATTGAAATCACCAAAATGTTGCAACTAATTTAAAACACGTCAAAAAGGAAAATAAAGTGCGTTTTACGTTAACAAAAGCCTTAAAACTAAACTACAGCCCCCATGATACAACAGTACCCAGATCAGCGAATCAAAAGCTAACGTTACTTTTTACACCAATCAGATAACGGAAGACCACTGACGTCACACGCTGTTGTTTCTATTTTTATGATTTTTTTTTCTGAGCGGGTCTACGGCTGGAGGCGCCATCTTGAAAGACGACATTTTTTGATAAAAACGGCTAAAAGCTTAAAAGCAGCACGATGTTGTATCTGGAGGACTACCTGGAGAGTGAGTTCGGGGTTGTACCCGGGGGGCTGCGGGGTTTTAGTGGGGTAATAAGCGCTAAATTGGTGTTATTTCTTGGTCGGACCATCAACGTCCTTGTTTTCTCCTCCCGCAGTGATCGAACAGCTTCCCATGGACCTCCGCGACAGGTTTACGGAAATGAGGGAGATGGACCTTCAGGTTCAGAGTACGGTCAACGAACACAGACACACCGTTACACACGACGTGTTTATCCCTCAGAGTGATTTTAAGTTAGCAGAGGAGCGTTTATAGAGATTCTTAGAGCCAGATTGAGCGTTTTAAACAGGAAAGCGGGCATCTCTATGGGTTTAAGTGTCCAACAGTGCCCCCTACTGACCAACAACAGGAACTGTTGGGTTGTACTCTAAATTAAGTATGTTTTTGTCTCTAAAAAAATCCTAAAATTACATTAAAAAGCTTGA